AGGCCACCAGCACTGCCAAAGCCCTGCTCCTGCTGAGGGACCTGGGCTCCAGTTCTTCCCCGCAGCTGAGCCATACTGGAGAGTGGAGTCTTCACCCTGGGAGGCACGTAAGGGAGCGGCAGAAAGCGCAAGATTTGGCAGGCCCACTAGGAGTAAAACTGTGGTGAGAACAACACATCACCCTTGTCCACAGCTCAGAGACAAAGCTCAGGGAAAGCACAAGGGACTGATGACCAATAATTGTTATTAACCACAGCATGAGAGAATTTTCTAGGAAGTTTGGTTTTAAAAAAAAGTACTGGTCACAGCAGGGTTAGCAGAGAAAGCAATACTACTTCATTTTTTTATTTCAACCTTAAAAACCTAAGGCGAAGAAAAAGAACACAATTAGAGGCATGAATACGACAAATTTTTTATTTCAAAGTCTCAAATTTTGACCAGCATAGCACCACTGACACAGGTGCCCTGATAGAACCTTATGATTTGGTCACCAGAAATGATTATGCCAAGCTATAATTAAGGCTAACCAATCAAATCCAGGTACCCAATACCAGTTAAAATTCAGGTAGAAACTACCAATTTGTGGGAACCCTGGGACTGGTTTTCCAGGGAACCTCTGAATTATTTTTTAAGTGCTACAGCATGTACGAGGACCTGGCTCACAGGCTTGCTTCTCACATGTAGGAACTGATTGACTAAGAGGTAGATGAGAGAGTCCAGATTCCACTTAGCAGTGGAGAGGCAGGGCTCCAGCCACTGTGTCAGAGATAGGCCCCGAAGCAAGTCCACTTAAGCTGGAGCTCAGGTGAGGGGGCGGCTTCCTGGCACCTCCTGCTCAAGGTGGAAGGGGAGGAGGGCTGCCACTGCTCTCCTGGTGCCACCGATTCCTCTTCCCAAGCCAGGCAGGGTCTCTCTCGTTCTCCATGCTGACCCACCTGCCTCCCAGGGTTAATCTCACGAGTCACTGGTCCCCACAGAGGGGTGGATGTGGAGCCTCCTCACATCAAGTCAGAGCATGACTGCTAACAATTGCCACACACAGCTGAACCTCACAGGTGATCCCACAGCCTCCAGCCGTCTCCCCCACATCTGAAAGGAGAGGAATCAGAGGTTTCCCTTTTGGTTTTCCTCCCTGGGAATCAGTTCGTAGGAGATGCTAAGCAATGAACATTGTAAGTTTATCCACAGACAGATGTGTAACTGCGTACACTAGATTAAGAGGAGAAAACACTCGCTGATTACCTTTCTTTCTAAACAAAGGTAAGAACTGAAGGATTTCACTCAATTATGCACAATGGCTTGTGTCTAAAAAAGCTGTATAAAAACTCATGTTCATGCATGAATTAAACTGACTTCATGAGCTCTATAGAGACACATTAACCTGTGCTTTTCCCCTGGAAGCTCATGAGCCAGGGCTCAGCCTGACAGCTGCTACCAAGAGCCCCGATGGCACAGGGTCAGAAGACCACAGGTGGGGCTGGGGAAGAGAAGCAGTGGGGTCCAGGGAGGCCCAGGGCAGTCACCCAGATGTCTCCTCAAACTGCCTCAGATGCTGCTTGGTGACTTCTATGCTCTGGGCTGCCCAACCCATTTATATTTACCCATGAATACTGCTGCATTTGGATTTCAAACATTCAGTTTTGGGTTGGGGCAACAACAAAAGTTCAGGGTCTGTACTTTAAAACGATAGTATAGAACAGTAATAAAACCCACGATGGAGGGGGGTTGATTTCACTTTTGGTTAGTTTTTACCTGAAAACAGTAATCTAGGCCCGAGAAAGATGCCATATGTGGCATGAATGTGAAGAAGTGAAGCAGACAACGGGTTTGTCGTTGGGTGAGATGTGTCAGGCTGCACCAGCCCCCGAAATCTGCACGGAACAAAGGGTAAATGCGCCATAAAAGATCTCACGAAACAGGACTCCACACCATCAGAACAAAGACAAACACTAGCTCTTTTCTGACTTCCAAACATGGAACTGTAACATATGTAATACAAGTTGGTTAAAATACTGCTAAAACAGCACATACAGAAACAATACCTTACTTGTTGCTCCCTATAAGTACATACTCCTTTTACAACTTTGTTTTTAAAACCAGGAAAAATTGTTAAAACATCTATGTAACAAACAGTGATGTTTTCAAAAGTATATATACACCTAATAGTCCAGAGAATGCTCGCTCTGGACCCAGTGTCAGCACCATGAAAGTGCAGTGTCTGTGACTGCAAATCAGACAAAAATAAAAAATACAGTATTTTCTGAAGCCTAGGACTAGCTCATGATAAACTTTAAAGCATTTTTGGCAGACAGGTATGTCCTCAAGGGCCTTCCTTTTAGACAGGCACAAAGTTGCCACTGGTTACACTTAAGTTTATCTTGCATCACTGTACAGGTATATAATCTCATCAGAAGGTATATAGGAAATTTAAATGCTTCAGAGTTTTACAAAAATTGCTAAACAAAAACTTTTGCACTTCGATTTTTAATTGTCAAATGTGCCACTTTTAATGACATCGATTCCAAACTACTTTCTGACTGCATTACTTAACCCTAAGGAAGAATTTGGTTTCAGGGATTGGATCCCTTCTCTGAAAGCGTACATTTCACTCAGAAATGTAGCAGTACAAGCACTACACCTATTAATTCTCCATTTATTAGTCATCGAAATTTGCATGAGCCATTCGCAGCCTGAAGCCTCAAACCCAACGGCATTAACCACCAACCAAAAGAGACTGTAGTTTAGGTCCTGATACTGGCCTCAGCATTATCTCAAGAGGTCGGGTTAGAGCAAAGTGCTGGGAAGGTTGCTGCTCTGCCAGCGCAGGCAGGTGGTCTTCGAGTGTTTGTACAGGTGGCTGGACTGACTGAACCTCTTGCCGCACTTGAGGCAGGCGTAGGGTTTTTCACCTGTGTGAACACGGATGTGCTTCTTGCAATCTGTCAAGGTCAGGAAAGTCTTGCAGCAGATTTTGCAGGCATACTTGCGAGCCCCCTCTACGACTAAGACGTTGTGCTCCGATAAGGCCTTCTTGCACTTTGACAGGACGTCAGCAGATGCCCTCGTCAACTGCGGGGGGCCGGGCTGCGAAGGGTGGCCATTTTCAAATGAGGATGTGGCCGCGTTCATCATTAGCTGGGAACTGGCAGAGTTCTCTGGGATCTGTGAGCTCCTGACTGACGTTACCACTGGCATTTTGGGAGCTATGCGGCGGTAGTATGGAAAGTTACTGGCTCCACCTCTAGGGGAGCTCATCATTACCCTGGAGAAGGAGGAATGCAACCCCAGACCAGACCTGGAAAAATCCATCCCAAACTGTTCTCCTCCTTGGTAGCCTGAGGTCTGCACACATGGCAGGCCCATCACTTCCTGCATAGGCCTGACGAAGTGAGCATCTGTGGGTTCGCTGAACGGGTTCTCCATGTGAGAGCCAGGGGCTGAGGAGGGCCCGCCTGCAGGCCCAGCCTCTGGACTCAACAGATAAGGGGCCTCCCCCTCCAGCCTGCAGTCACTAGTGGTGTTTGGGATATTATCGTCATTGTTCTGATTTGCACTAAAGTTACTTCCTCTGCTCTTGTTAAGAAAATTTGAAATGCTAAAAGTGGATTTATGTTCTAGGTTATTTGTGACTTCCAAAATATGGATGTCTCCTACCCGGTCAGTGCTAGACTGGGGATCTGAAAAACTCCGGTCGCTGCTCTCGGGGCTGAGGTCTATCTTCTCGGCACTGACCACCACTCCCTCCACCTCCACCGATTCGCTGCCTTCCGCTTGGGAGGTCACGTCGCTCACTTCATCCTGAGGCTCAGGAGAGCTCAGGGGCTCAGATTTAACCACCACTCTCATGTGCTCCTTCTCACCAAGGCCAGCCTCAGGGTTTTCGCACTGAAAACCACTTTTCTCAGGTGTGGCTTCCTGCTCAAAACTAGCCTCGACCTGAGTGGCGCGGGAGGCCATGGAGAGCTGGGTCACGTTGCCGGTGCTGTTGTCGGACTGGCTGGGCACCTGGGCATCTTCTTGAGCACCAAAGGGCCGGTCAAATATGATGGCGCTGTCGTCCTGGGTGTCGGTCATCCCGTCAGCTTTAGGGTTATCCACGATCTTCAGAGAATCTGGTGAAAAGAACTCCTCCCGAGAATGAACCCCCGGCCCATTCTCTGGCGTAACGTCGGAGATGGCAGACTCATCCAGGGTGGGTCGGAGCCGCTGTCTGGCCCGCTCCTCTGCAGACTGCTTGCGCTTATGCAGGCGTCTCATGGGGAACGGTGTCCGCTGGTCCAGGTTACTGCGCATCGAGGAGCTCATGGGGGCCGGCTGCTCCTCACCACTCTGGCTGGAATTGAGGGCTGAGCTCACGATGCTCAGTCCCAGCTGCTGCAGCATAAAGGAGCGCTGCATGCGGGCACTCTGCTCCTGAACGCGCTCGGTGGGGGGAGACATGGGCAGCGTCCTTGTCGTTAGGTAATGTTTACATGCTTTAACAACAGAGTTCAAGTGCAGGTGAGAGGCTGCCAATAAGACATCCATAACATTGCTCTCCCCCAGCATGAGGGTGGAGGTATACATCATGTCAATCAGTGCGGCAAAGGCCTCCGCTGTCACTACCTCGCTATCCAACTGGATCATGTTCATGGTCTGATCTCCCTCTGCCACAGAGAACAGGGCTCGGAAATGTGTACTGCATGCTGCTAGTACCGAGCGGTGGGCTTTGAAATGTCTGTTCCCCACTACAATGACACAATCACAGAGCTGGCCGTGAAGTCTCTGGTAGTTCAGCTGCTGGAAGATCTGTTCAAAGTGGCCAGGAAAATCCATGATCCTATTAAAAAAAAAGAAAGTGTTAAGACGCAGAAGAGCCTAAGTCAAAGGGCACAGAGGGTGTGACGACAAGAGAGGCATGGGGACTTCCCTGGCGGTCCAGTGGTTAAGACTTCGCCTTCCAATGCAGCGGGTGCGGGTTCGATCCCTGCTCGGGGAGCTAAGATCCCACATGCCTCACATCCAAAAAACCAAAACAAAAAACAGAAGCAATGTAACTAATTCAATAAACACAAAAAATGGTCCACATCAAAAAAAAAAAAATCTTAAAAAAAGAGGGAGGCATGAATGACCAAGCTTGGATCTTTCAAAGCTCGTGATGTTTCTGATGGTGGGCACGCAGACTAAACACCTGTCCAATAAGGAGCAAATGCTGATTCGGCTAACAGCCCTGGAAGCCTGCACACACACACAGATCAGCTACGGGCTGTTTACAGCCTCCCCTTCACCCTTACATGACCCACTTTTAACACTTAGGGTCCATGTTAGAAAAGACCAGTGTGTGGGTGATGCAACATCTATCTATACCTGAGAAGTCAGAGTTCTGCACTCCCTGAGGACAATAAATAAACTCCAAGAAATTATAAACAGTCTTTTAGCAACCTTAAATAAATTAAAAAGGGCATATCAATATTAGTGGGGAAGATTTCCAGTTATAGATGGTAGTAGATTGCACTCATGCATTTACCCTCTCCACCCTTAAAGTTTTTTGGTTTTGTTATTGTTTTAAAGGTAAAAACCCACAAGGGAAAAAAGAGTGGGAAAGAAATATCAATAGCATTTTGGAAGCTGGTGAGCCGGTAAACGAATACGTGCTGACTGACTTAGCATGCCCAGAAAGCTGAATCCTAAACTGGCAGTGGCTAAAACAACCTGACATATATAAACCCCCACCCACCCAGAGGCTCAGAACTGGCTGCCAAGGTGCCAGGGGAAGTGGAGTGAAGATGATGTCAAGACAAGGGGACTGGCTGGAAGTCTATTCGATAAAAAAATAATCTAATGGACGTTCCATACCTGTGGCACAGAAAAGGTAAAGCTATAGAGACAGAGAGTAGATTAGTGGTTTTCTGGGACCGGGGTTGGGCTCGGGGCAGGACTGCAAGTGGGAAGAGGGACTTCTGGGGGCATGATGGAAATGTTCTAAAATTGGGGTATGATGATTACACATCAAATTCTCTAAAAATATTTGAACTGTACACTTAAAACAAGGAATTTTATGGTATGTACATAGACCTCAATAAAGCTCAATAAATTAAACTTCAAAAAAAAAAAAGAAGAAAAACAAGAGATGAACAAGCTCCAAAACCATCTGCTCAGACTCCATTTTCACCTGTAGGGCTTCTATACAGCCAACCCAACTGACTGCTTAGAATAGCACATGTATCTTTGATGATACTACAGAATTACTAGGTTTTTCTCCTCCTTAGGTGTGATAATGGCATTCTGATTTTTTTTTCAAGAGTAGTTTTTAAAGAGATAACATACTGAAATACTTACAGATGAAATGACATGATGTCTAGCATTTGCTTCAAAAGCTTATTTTTTGTACATTTGAAATTTTTTATAAATGTTAAAATTAAAAAAGGGAATAAAGAAGAGACCGCATGGACTATGGGTGGATCACTTTCCAAAGCTGAGTTTGGAATCATTACATATCTACATTTTCATCTCTTGGACTCATCAGAAACAAGAACTTGCTTGTCCTCTCCTAAGAAACTGCTACACTTCCTAGGAACTACAGGACTGCTGATTCAAAGTCTAACTCCTTGACTAGTGCTCATGACACACTCTCATTGTATGGTTAGAAAACAGGGTCAATAACCCCCAAAGTGGCGCTGCTCTGTGCCTTCTGCCCACAGACTGTAGAAGCTGAAGGAGCCACAAAGTTTAAAACCCTGTTTTATCCTCTCCAGCGAAGGAACCTCTGGTCCTCTGGGAGGGAGGGAGGCAGAATCTAATGGTTACACCCCAGGATACAAACACATGCAGATAGACAGTCGTGCCTGGCACTAGAGATAAAATGATCAACAAGACAGATCCATCTCTGCCCTCAGGGGTGACAGACTAATCAACATTCAAATACAATAAAGTATTGCAAGTGCTGTGGTAGGAAGTACAAGGTGCTACAGGAGACAAAGAAAGGGCGCCTGCCTCTGACGGGCTGGTGGAGGGGGTGTGGAAAGCCTCTTCGGGAAAGAAGCCAGCAGTCCCCTGCTGGGCTCTGGTGGCTGAACCAGAGAAACTCTGTACTCAGGACACGAGGCTGGGACGAGCTGCTACAACCCACAGCTGGAGCATGAACTTAAAGTCCGCACTAGAAGGTAAGACATTCCCCCCACCCCACCCACCAATAGAAGACTAGCAGCCCAGGGTTCAAATACCCAGGGAATCCCTCCAACAGACCACTTGGGTCCCCATCAAACTTCCCTACAGTGAAGCCCACCAGTCCTCAAGGCCCATTCACTCAGCTTCCAATCAGTCAGGAAGAAGCACCACAAACTGGAGGGGAAAAATCCCTAACATTGAAACCGAGTGCGGCCCTATGGGGCTCCCAGGCACGGAGGCTTTTTTGTCTCCCATTTCTTGTAGGCAAAACTCCAGCCTCCATGACCTTCCCTGAGTTCCAAAGGGCAGATTCAAACAGTTGCTAATCAAGGGAGGAGCAGGTAAGAAACCACCTGAGGCAAGATTAAAGGGACCGGAGAAGATGAGGAGACCATCTGAGACCCTGCACACATCCTAATCTTGTCAGCAATCTCATCCTTTTGAAACTCTGCAGGAGAATGCAAGACTGTTACTGCCTTCGTCCTTATTGCATACCCCTGACCATGAGCCCCGACTATAAGACCTCTCCCTATTCCCCAGGGAGGGGAGCACAGTTCTTGAGGTGCTAGCCTACTGTGTTCCCTCTTCGCCTGGCAAAGAAATAAAGGCACTCTTTCTTTCTCCTCCATAACTGTCTCAGTATTTCTGTACAGCATCGGTGCACAGACAGCCAAGATTTTGGCAACATGAAAGAGCCCTAAACAAACAAACAAAAAGGCATCTGGAAGAAACAGAACTAAGGGCGAAAAACACCTATAATTAACATCCTCAGACAGCTAAGATACGATATCCATGAAACAGGAAGAGAATGTTTTTAATTTTTTTTGAAAAGAAATATTCCAGAAACAAAAAAAATATTGAAGTTTAAAATTGCAAAAAAAATTTTAAGTTACTAGAAGGGTTGGAAGATAATAATATGGCTGAGGAAATGTCACAGACAAGGCAAAGGAGAAATAAAAGTGAATGAACAAGAGAAAAAAAGAATTAACTAATGAAGCCCAAAGTCTGAATACAAAAAGAGAAAAGACAGAAAATGGGGAGAATGATAAACAACAAAGAATAATTCTCAGAACTGAAGAAGTTACTTATTCACACTAAAAAGGTCCACCAAGTGCTCAGCAATATGAATGAACAAATCCCACACCTGGCTCATTACAGTGACATTTTAAAACACCTGGGATAAAGATCTGGAAAGTTTGAAGTGGGGGGAGTTAACAAAGAAGAGTTAACAAAGAATCAGGAATAAAACTGGCATTAGACTTCTCGAAAGCAATACTGGAAGGTAAAAGGTTCTTTAAAATTCTCCGAGAAAATTACTTCCAACTTAGACCATACCCAGCCAAACATCAATTGTAAGGGGAGACTACGGCATTTTCCAGACAAGCAAGAACCCAAAAGTCTACCTCCCACATATCCCTTCTCAGGAAGCTATTAAACCTTGTGCTTCAGGAAGCTGGGAATAAACCAAGAAAAGGAAGATGAAGAATATAGGAATTGCAGATGCATCCTAGAAAACAGGCAAAGAGAATTTGAAAGATGATGCTGAAGCCCGAAATGAGAGCTAGGCAGCAGGACTGGGGAGCAGACTGGAGCAGGAATATGAGGGACTCCAAGGAGTTCCCCAAGGGAAAAAAGGAATGGAGAGATCACATGACATAGTTGAGAGCCACTAAGAAGTTAACAGTTCCATGAAAATGTGAAGATAGGTCATAAAAAAACAAGAAGAATTTTATTTTATTTTTTTGCGGTACACGGGCCTCTCACTGTTTTGGCCTCTCCCGTTGCAGCACATAGGCTCCGGACGCGCAGGCTCAGTGGCCATGGCTCACGGGCCTAGCCGCTCCGCGGCATGTGGGATCTTCCCGGACCGGGGCACGAACCCATGTCCCCTGCATCGGCAGGCGGACTCTCAACCACTGCGCCACCAGGGAAGCCCAAGAAGAATTTTAAATGGGACAGTTATTAACTCCAGGAAGAATACATGGTTGTTTAGTTGCCGTACCCTATGTGTTTTGTTTACAGAGTCCTAATAATGTGAACACAGAGCCAAATTTGAGATACTGGAAGGGTAAGGGAAGGCCAATACATGTGTGTGGGGGAGGCAGAGGAGAAGTGGTGTAAGAAGGTTAAATTCTCACCTTCCCTATTAGTCAAGAAATGCTGTCTGAAATACTACCCCAAGAAATAGTAATATAAGAACGCTGTTTGGAAATATAGAAAGCAGTAGCAGACGAAACAACTAAAACAAGTGAAAGTGGCTGCCTCTAAGGAGGGGGAATTTGGAGGGGAAAAACGGGGGACAGAAGACTGCTATTTTTTTAGCTCTAAACCTAATGGAACTATGTGGCTTCTAAAATATAAATACATACATATATTTAACTTTTATAAAAATAATTTTTTTGGGTTTTTTTTTTTTTTTTTTTTGCCACACCATATGGCTTGTGGGATCTTAGTTCCCTGACCAGGGATTCAACGCACGCCCTCAGCAGTAAAAGCACAAAGTCCTAACCACTGGACCGCCAGGGAATTCCCAATATTAAATGAAATTTTAAAAAACATGGTAGGGCTTCCCTGGTGGCGCAGTGGTTGAGAGTCCGCCTGCCGACGCAGGGGACACAGGTTCGTGTCCCGGTCCGGGAAGATCCCACATGCCGCGGAGCAGCTGGGCCCATAAGCCATGGCCGCTAAGCCTGTGCGTCTGGAGCCTGTGGTCCGCAACGGGAGAGGCTACAACAGTGAGAGGCCTGTGTACCGCAAAAAAACAAAACAAAACATGGTAGATCCTTGACATTCTAAAGGCATACACCCTGAGATCTTTGCACATCTCCAAATTCACAAGTACCGTTATGGCACTTCACAAGGATTACTGCAAGCAGAAGGCCACATGGATGCCAAGCTGCACACCAGGCTTGCCCACTTGCTTTAGTGGCCCAGCCCTACAGAGCAGGCCAAGTCATGACTGAGTGAAATGACAAGTGACCACAGAACACACTCCTTCAAGATCCTTGGGAAATAACAAAAATGACAAACTCTAAATCCATAAAAACCAAAGGTCTACAGTGCCAACTGAGAGTATTAAGCACAGGCCTTTACTGTACCTGGAAAGTTACAAACGGATGGTAAAATGCCTCAAAGCAGGGGCCACGTGTTGGCCTATTCTTTTACCTCCTGTGTTTTTTCAGCTTTTGAAGAGTTTCCAACAACAAAATACATCACTAAAACACGTACTTTCCTGCTGCCCCCTTCTTGCTTTATCAAGATTCCCTGCTAGGAGTGAAGGGCCAACAATGGCAAGCAGCAGCACATGAGCCCCTGACCCCACCCAATCAACCAGGGACCACAGAGCTCAAGGCTTTGGGGAGATTAGACAAAATGCAATTATTGCTCACAAGTCTATAGCTCCTGACTTGGAAAGTAAACACGTATAGTAGTAAATGTCAAGTTCCAAGGAGGCAATTATTTTATAGCAGTAACAGGGAAGAAACATTCTGGTTCAAGAAACAAAAGAAATAAAACAAGGAGTTGTCTCAGGAAGCTGTACCAGCCTCAAAGTCACTCTGAGAACTAAGAGACTGGAGCCTTGTTAGGTTAAAGCAAGCAGCATCAGGCACTGAGTTTATTGCTTTCTCTCCTACTGTGGAGACTGGAACCAATGTTGTAGAACTGTTGCAGTGCTGACAGTAGTAGTAATAATAAAACAATGGTGACTACTGTTAGAGAGTCTTCTATGTGCTAGTCATTGTGTTAAGTACTTTTTATTTATATTATCTTTAATCTCCAAAACAACCTTGTCAGGTAGGGCTTACTATTCTGACTTAACAGAAGAGGGGAACATAAAAGACTAACTTCCCAAATAAATGGTATTTTAATGGAGCATTAAATGGGCATTCTGTCCAATGTCCTTCTTCTTCAACAAGCAGCAGAAATATGATCATCTGAGGAAAAACAGCCTCCTTATTTTTTGTAATGTCAGTTATCTTGAGTATGAGAGAAACCACCACTCTTTTCCACAAAAGGTCATTCACTAAAATGTCAAACTCCTAATATTCAATCCCCCTTTCTATAGAAAGGGCATAAGTAGCAAGGAAATTGTGGTCTCAAAAGCACCATTTTGAGGAGATTCCCAGGGCCCAGAAACCTATGAGAAGAGACTACTGAGGTAGCTAAACATGACCCCAACGAAAACAGAGGTTTAAATAATGTTGCAAAATAGGTAAACAGTTCATATAACTTCCTGTCATCCTAGAGATTGTCAGCCCTACACTAGATGCCCTGACACAATCCTTGAGATCAACTCAAGTTCTCCAGGCTCTTCTCCAAACACTGTAGGGATGCCTGGAATGTCCCGCTATGCCTTATTGTCAGGCCTTCATCAGGGCAGTACAAAGGCTAAGGATTCCTTTCTTCTTAAGGGGGCCTGGAAGTTGTGAAACTAAATAGTGACATTAGAGATGATCATCAAAACCTGGAGAAACACTTATTCTCTAAGTTAGTAACTGTGTTGAATTATCTGTTTAGACATAACTCCAAACTAATATCTCCTTAATGGCAATATTCTTTCATCTTAATATCATTTAATCAATTTATGATCATTTAGATTAGCAATAGAAATCAAATCCACTAATATAAAAGCTAATTTTAGCCATAAAACTGGCCAATTAGATTATTCAACTGCTCCTTCCAATATATCCAGAGTGTCAGAAAACACTTCAGGGTAAGTCAGAGCCCTTAACTGGATACAATCAGTCCACTCAACTGATTTAAGGAGAAAGGGATTTATGGTAAAAAGATGTTAGGAAGCTCACAAAATCTCCAGGAGGGTGGGAGAGTGATACAGGAATGCCCCAGAGCACCCAAGCACATCGTGGAAATCATTACTGCCACTACTACCTCTACTTTCCATGGATCCTGCTCTGGATTAGCTGCCCAGAAGAGAGCTGCCATTGCACCTTCTACACCAGCACAGTCCAATACAACTTCCTACAATGACAGAAATCAACAGCATAGTTGCTATGCTGTCCACTAGTCACATGTGTTTACTGAGCACTTGAAATGTGGCTAGGGTGACTGAGGAAATGAACTTTTAATTTTATTTAATTTTAATTAATTTAATGTCTACTGGATTGGACAGAGTAGTTCTAAATGCTCAGTATTGTTCCATATTGCTCACATCTGCATCCAGACCCCACTCAGGTACCTACGACCAAGGGAACCTAGTTCTCACATCTGCCCTGTAATGATGATTCTACCTTGGGAAATGGGACACACAATTTGCAGGCTCTCCAAATGGAAAGGTGGGGGTGTTCAAAAGGCTGGACAGCTGCCAGTGACAAACAGCCACTGTAACATTCCTCTGACAGTTAGAGCCCCTCCCCATGTATGTGATGGGTAAATGGCTTTGGAAATGCATAGCTTTTCCTGGTCCGGGAAGGTCCCACATGCCGCGGAGCGGCTGGGCCCATGAGCCATGGCCGCTGAGCCTGCGCGTCCGGAGCCTGTGCTCCGTGACGGGAGAGGCCCCAATAGTGAGAGGCCCGTGTACCGCAAAAAAAAAAAAAAAAAAAAAATCAAAAAAAAATAAAATAAAATAAAAATAAACAATTACATGTTAACTTTTATGAAAAATAACCATACTCCCCCGAAAAAAAATAATGAGAAGAGTGGCACTGTTTTACATTTTTGCATTAACAGAAGATAGCTGGATTCTCATATTTGCTTCTGCATTCAGGATTTTGCAATATCATACACGAGTGTACACTCATGAAAGAATTAAGTGAAAAAAGCAAATAAGTCTTTATATCAATATGAAAATAGCTTTGACCTCATAGACTCCTTGAAAAACTCTCAGAGGTCCCTATGGGTCCTTGGACTATACTTTGAGAATAGCTGATCTAATGAAAATTCTAACTATACTGGGGGATGGAGGAATGTGGAGTGTGCAGTAGAATCATAAGGAGAAATTAACAAACTCATAAAAAACAAAATTCTTATCTCTAACCAAGGGGAAGTCAATAGATAATGCCTAAACTGAAAAATTAAGAAGCTCCAAGCATGGCTTTTTACATATGTATATAAATATCAAAGGAATTAGTTAAGAGTTGAAAGTGGGGGCTTCCCTGGTGGCGCAGTGGTTGAGAGTCCGCCTGCCGACGCAGGGGACACGGGTTCGTGTCCCGGTCCGGGAAGATCCCACATGCCGCGGAGCAGCTGGGCCCGTGAGCCATGGCCGCTGAGCCTGTGCGTCCGGAGCCTGTGCTCCACAACAGGAGAGGCCACAACAGTGAGAGGCCCGCGTACCGCAAAAAAAAAAAAAAAAGAGTTGAAAGTGGGAGTCTTGAGAAAGAGAAATGGGGAGCAGGGGGGCCAGGGCCTAGTATTCATCTAAAAAATCTGTGGAACTAAAAAAAAAAAAAAAATCTGTGGAACTATTTGATTCCTTAAGTGATGTGTACTTAGCAAACTACATATATATCTTTGGTAAAATTTCTTTTTAAAAATCTAAAAAGAGAGCATGAACAGACCATAATTGGTCCCCACCGCCACGCACACAATTAGAAAGAGCTGCCAAAGAATTACTTCTCCCCTGAAGAGGCACGAGCACCAAGTAGTTTTACAGGAAATATCTATTGAATGCTATGGAAAAGATAATTCCTATATTATTTAAACCATTTTAGGATAGAAAGCTTCCTATAATGCAATTTTAAATATTGATAAATAGCTA